CGTAAAGCAACACTTCACTAAATCACTTTTCTCTTTGCTTTGTATATCTCTTCTTTATCTCAAGACTGCACTCTTTTTGATATTATTTCTGATCAAATTGACCAAGCCCTCTCTCTTTATCCATCAGCCAATATCATTGTTGTTGGTGCTTTAATGCTTATCACACTAAATGGCTTGGCTCTAGTGTCAGTGACTCAGTTAGCGTGAAATCCCACAACTTTTGTCTTTCTCAATCTCTAACTCTAATAGTCAACTTTCCAACTCACTTTTTAGACAATTATAATCGTTTACCTTCTCTACTCGACTTATGTCTTGTTTTTAATCCTAGTCAGTGCTAAAATACATTCTTGTGTCACTTGTAATTCAATTAAGTCTCATCATTTTACTGCAACATCTTTTTAACTTCGACTCAATAGACTCAATAATTTTCATTCGCCTAGTTTTTCTCCTTGAACATCAGTTCTTTGAAATTGGATTTCTTTATCTTGTTTTTCTGATTCACATAGTTTGCAATCTTTTAAATAGTCTGTCAATTGTTATTTCACTCTATAAACTTTTTCTTTTCTCTTCCAGTAACTTCCAACTCAATAGAGGTTGCTTGCAGCATTGTTGAATGCAAAGATGTTAAAAAAACAAACTTGTTTGCTATTTATTTAGATGCTGGCATACAATATCTTTATATTTTTATATAAACTATTCTATTTGCAGTATTTGCCTAAAAAGAAGATGATGATCAGATGGATGTGTGGTATGACTCTAACAAGAAAAGAAAAGGAGCCATAATGATGATGATGATAATGATGATGATGTTGATTATAATGATGTTTATATATATATATATATATATATATATATATATATATATATATATATATATATATATATATATATATATATATATATATAAAATGTAACAAAAATTTCGAATAATAAATGTGTTCAATCACAAATGAAACTCAACAAAACAATGGCCTTTATGCAAATGTTAAAGTAATAACATATAACTCAATGTAAACTAGATAATGTGTAATTACAAAAAATATAATTACAAAAAAATAATCAAAAATGATTTTTCTTTAGTTATAAAAATAAGCTCAGAAAAAGCAGATGTAAGAAAACATGTGTATAAGTTCTACAAAAATAACATTACACGAAAAACAGTTTACTTATAATCATTTTAAAGCCAAAAATGTCCCAAAAACAACTGTAGATCGTATATTTAAAAACTATAAAAGTGAACTGAGTGCAGAAAATAAACTTTTTTTGAAACGAAATAGCACAAAAATGAAGTTAAGAAAGAAATAGCACAAAAATGAAGTTGAAAAGAAATAGCACAAAAAAAAAAAAAAAGGTAAGGCTTGCTGTTTATTTTGACAATAAATTTTTATCATACACACTCATAAATTGTTAAAACCAAAGCAAACATCAAATATTATTACTGAGAATCAATAGTAAAACAGTCTGAGCAAAGAGCTCACCCTAAATGCAAATGCTTGTACAAAAGGTTTTTCAAGGAAATTTTTTTTGGATGACGAATCTTATTTTACATTGTCAAAATCCACAGTTGTTGGGAATGATGGGTATTACTCCATTGACCCCAAAAATGCTCTCAAGACTTCTAAGTCCTTTGAAAAACTAAGTTCAAAAGCCAAGTTTTGTTATGGCTAACAATTAGTCTCAAAAGTATGACTAGACCAGTAATCAAGCAATCTGGCTATTTTGTTAAAAAAATATGTACAAAAAAAAATTGCATTAAATACTTTTGGGATTATTTGAAATTAAATACTTTTGGGATTATTTGAAAAGTTTAGTTTACAAAGGAAAGTGGGTTTACAAAGTTTAGTTTACTAAGACAATAATGTTCAAAAATTTATAAGAGTTAAGTATTGTTTCAAAAAAATCACTCCAGAGGTAGCACAGAGATAGTGTGAAGACAAAAATGTTCAAAAAAGTTATTACAAGAATTAAGTATTGTTAAAAAAAAATCACTCCAGAGGTAGCACAGCAGTTTCCAGAGTATGATACAAAATGTTAAAAGAAGCTCTAACTTGCGAAACTGCAAACTACCATGTGAGTAAGCATTTGTTATCCATTATCAACACACACACAGATATATAATAATACAAAAACAACCACAGCTCAGAGAAAAATGGAGAAAACTCATTACCCATTTAACTCCAACATTATCACATCATAGTAAATTATTTACCATAAAATATATAATGAGTATGTTCAGACGATTTTCCTGACAGAGCCCTATCATTTAAAAATCAACACTCTTCTTTAAACTTAGGCTCCAATGCTCAAAGACTTATATTAATAAATGTAAACAATACAACATTTTCAAACAATGATCCATCAGATTATGTTGAATTTAATGTTAAGTGTTGTTTTATCATAGAGCATCAAGAATTAAAAAAGAAAATTGATAACTTAAAAAAAGAACTGTAGCATGAAATTGAAAAAAGATTTATGTGAAAAATTAACTTCAACCACATCAGTTATTACTATGAAACCAGACAAATTTGTATATAAACATAATCCAAACAAATCGTGTTACTGCTATTTACTTGTATACAAACATTTATATTAAAAATGATAAATCTTGTGACTTTTATACTGGCCTTACATCTGTCAGTGTGTTTCATGAGTTACATAGTGCAGTATCACCATTAATCAAAAGAAGATAAAGTGATGTTAAAAAAATATCTACTGCTGTTTTTTGAAATTTAAAAAAACCCTAAACTATTTAGACCAAAATAAAAGCTATGAAACAAAGATGAATTTTTAATGATGCTAAGACTTGGATTACTGACAACTGATCTTACTGACAGGTTTAATACATCTTTAGAATTAGTCATTGCAATTTTTTCTACATGGGTGAAAGCTTCTAGCTCACTTTTAAAGCATATGGTTTTTGTTCCAAGTAAAGATGTTATAAGACAAACAATGCCAAACAGATTTAAGAAATCAAATAAATAATTCAGACTTGTGCATGTATACATATATGTGTATATATATATATATATATATATATATATATATATATATATATATATATATATATATATATATATATATAAAATGGGGCAGAACTGTACATAACACGATTTTCATGCAAGACAACAACCCCAAGCATAAGGCTGATAAAACCATTAAATTCCTTCACGAGAAGAAATTAAAAGTCGTTGACTGGCCAGCACAAAGCCCTGATCTTAACCCACTCAAAAATTTATGGGCAATAGTTAAACAACGGGTCTACAACTTTCCTACTCCATCTAAGAATAAGGATGAACTTTGGGCTTGTGTACAAGAGGTTTCATACTCAATTACACCAGAGGAATGCCGCAAATTGGTTGCTAGTGTTCCTAAAAGAATTCAGCTAACTGAAAATATTTTTTAATAAAAAATATTTTCAGTTAGCTAAGTTAATTTAATAAATAAAATCAAAATTTTATTTTTCTTCACAGTTTTTCTAATAAAATATATATAAAATATTTTTTTGTTCAAACATGGTGACAATTTTGGCACACACACACACACACACACACACATATATATATATATATATATATATATATATATATATATATATATATATATATGTGTGTGTAAACAAACTTAAAATAATTAAAAGTCAGAATTCAGTTATTATTAGGGGAGAGTAGGACACCCTAATAGTGTCCTACTCTCATTTATTGTAAATTTAAAATTAATTTAAATTTACAATAGGGGATATCAGGATACTATTAGGGTGGCCTTTAAAACATGATTTTTGATAAAAATCTGCTCGCACCCCCTAAATGTGTCCTACATAATATAAAAACACTAGGTTTTGAAATTTAAAAACAATTAAGGGGTTGTTCAAGACCTTTAAAATTTGGGTGGTCCTAATACTATTGAAAAAAAAAATCTTTAAAAGTATGTTAACCTGGTACTCAAAAGATGCAAAATTAAAAAAAAATTTTAAAAGTAATAATTAAAAAAAAAAAATTATAAACTTGTTAATATTGCCTTTTTTTATTTTTAGTAAAAAACCATAAGTTTTATCCAATAAAATGAAATAATAATTTTTATAAAAAACTATTTTTTATTTAATTTTGCCTTGTTGAGTACGAAGTTGACTTTTACATGATGTTCAAGTCTTGAGTAACCCCTTAGAATATATTTTTTTCAAAAATTTTTAAATCAAGTATTTTTGTATTATATAAGACACATTTAGGTAGTAGCAGATTTTATCAAAAATCTTGTTTTAAAGGCCACCTTAATGACCATATATACACCCAATTTAATTTAACTTGTGTAATAAATTTATACTTTATACAAAATTAAATTACAAAAATATAACAGGTTAAACTTGTTAGACTATTTAAAGTAAAATTAAACATTTGTATCAAGGTACCCAACCCATGGGTATGAGCATCATTAAAAAAGTAAATGAAAACATAAAAATTTTTTTTTACTTAAAAGACAAACAAACTAATAACTATAACCCAAATAATGCATCAAATGATCACATTTCAGAAACCCAGATAATATAATATTTTAAATGTCATTCTTAAGCACCAATAAATAATGGCACAAATGCTGTATCAAGATACCCCATACTAGCTAAAGAAAACAATCATTTTATTTTTATTAACTTGTTTTTTCAATAGTTTTGTTTAATGAAGTAAGTTTAACGGATTGCAGTTCACAATATGTTACTTATCAATAGACACATTGAATAACTTACCTTAAAAACAAGCAACTTTAAAAACTAATAAATTACTTTTTCATCAAAAGAAAAAAAAAAAAAAAAATTCAACCCAACGCAGGCCTAAATGATATCAAATGATATATTTTTTTTGTCAAAACTAAACTCTAATTTGTAAACATATAAACATAGCTAGTAACTGGTTTTACTGTATAAAAGTGGCTGTCACAACTGTCGCAACATAATTTGATTAAGACATATATATTAAGCACAAAACATAAAAGAAACAAAGTAAATATCTAACATTCCTTAGAAGAATTTTGAATTCCTTCTTCATCTGCTTTGCTATCTTTGTCTAATGAATAAATATCAAACCTATACAAAATAAAATCAAATATTATAAACAAAAACAATTTATTGAAAAAAAAAAATTAAATTAAATAATCAGAATAAAAAATAGAAAAATCTTTTTATGAAACATTTTCTTGAGAAGTTGGTTTTTATTTATTTTACAAACAATAATCCAATTAGTTTTTTACAAACAATTATCCAATTAATTTTTAACTAAAATAAAAATGAAAATGCATTTCTAATAGAAATTTTAGTCATTGTGTTAATCATTAACACAATAAATGAGAACCTTGTATCATTTTTGAGAACTGAAATAACATTAACTACTGATTTCATAAAACTTTACAAAATGAAAAAAGTAAAAATATATACCATGAAGGCATAGACATTCCCATATTAAGAGTAACTTTTGAAACTGGCCTGTTTAAAAAATTAGCAAATAAAAAAAAAGTTAAAGCTGAAATATATTTAAAAGTAATAATAAATTAACAGAGACCTGCCAATTAACTTAACATTGAATGTTAAGTTAATTGAAAGCAAGGATATAGGACTTTACAAATAAGAAATATATTTAAAAAGTATGCAGTTACAAATAATTGCTCTTCTTGCACAAATCTTGAGCGCTTTTAATACATTTTAAGCAAATAAAAATAAACAGTTGAAAGTTAAAACATTAACAGATTAGATTATTTTTCATAATAATATCAAAAATGTTTTTAAAATGTCTGACTCACTACCAATATAATTATATTAAACTAATAAACTTGTATTAACAAATGTTGTCAACAAAGAAAAAATAAAGTAGTTTTAACTTACGCATTAGGGCAAATGTACTTAATGTAGGGGAGAGCAATTTCTTCTAGAGCCGCCAGCCAACCATGTCTACAAAAAAAACAATCATTTAAAAATACAATCATTTAATTTTTATTAAACAAAAATCTAACTTTAATATGAAATAAATTAAAAATTAAAATATAACAAAATGTATCTGATTTAAATTGTAAGCATAATTACCCAGTGTCACCTAAACCATGAAGAAAAATTACCTAAATTTGTATAAATATAATATAATAAAATATAAAAAATTTCTCAATCAAAAAAATACTTTAAATACAAAAATATTTCCTACTGTTGCAGTGTGCTTAGCTTTAGGGAGAACTGTTGGACAAGACATAACTGTAGACAAAAGAAAACTTTCAAATTATTTTAGTTTTGCAAGGTTTTCTAAATGATATACACTATGACTTTATTTTAGTTTTGTCTATCTAAACAATATATACAAAAAAGAGTTAGGTGCAAAGAGAGACTGTTGAAATATTAGATTATTAATATTTAAAAGTTACGGTGAATATACTTTTTTATATTCTTTATTTAACATAAAAATTAAACAAAGCAAGAAACATAATAAAAATAAACAAATAAAATGTAATAACTGAGTTAGGATTTTATTAAATATATGTTAAATAAAAAACAATTTTGTTTAGTAAAGCAAAACTAATTTTTTCCATAATAACATAAATATAAAATTTACAAAATAATATTTGTAATAAAAATCTTTTTGTGACTTTAAACATGTTCGTTTCCAAATCTAAAAAACAAAAACAAAAACAAAAAAAAAATTTTTTTTTACAAATAAAACTAAAAATTTTTTAAACATAATTTCTTTTTTTACAAAATTATGATCAATTGTTATAAGCATTATTGAAATTAAAGAAATTATTTTTTTTTTAACCATAAATTATAGTTATAATGGCAATTATACATTTAAATATGCAGTAAAGAAGTAGGGAATTATTAAAACATTTTAAAAATATTTACAAATGTAACAAAAAAATTTTGAAAATATATTTATAAAAATATTTATAAAATTTTTTTTGTACTGATGAAGATTTATTACCCCAAAAATAGAAACGGAAAATTTAATTTTTTTTTCTTCATTGCTTGAATAACTGTTTGGATTTTTAGGAGAGTGTTAACCAAAATTTACAGAAATAAATAAATATTAAATATGAATACATTTAATATATCAATGTTCTGTAAATAAGCATGAAGACTTAAAGTATGGCAGCCAAAAAAAAAAAAAAAAAAAAAAATGAAAAGCAAAATTCCACAAAATATGAAAGTTATTATTATTTGAGTAAAAAAGAAGGAAAACTTGTAGAGGGATAGATAATTTAGTTTTTTTTTTTTTTAAATATAATTTCAATAAAAGCTGCAACTAAGCTAAAAAAAATTTCAAGCTGTAATAAATAAGCAACAAAAAATTAACTATTAAAATTTTAAACAGTAGATCAGTATAATTTAAGTTAAACTTTTTAACCTTTAGAACCTGGTCACAAATTCCCCAACATTTAATACACCATTTAATACATAATTTCTTATTTGTAATTTTGATTTATTAAATAAAAAATTTTCTAAATAATTAAAATAAGAAGTATTGCAATTACCTATTAAATAAAATGTTGCCATATTGACATTGGAATCAGTTCTTGCAACTTTTGAAACAAAAAAGCGAAAGGTAAACCACAACAAGACAAAATCTATAAAATTTTTATTTATTAAAGAATAAGGAAGATTCATAATCAAGTTAGAACATATAAATATAGTAATAAAGAAAAATAACATACAATTGTATAATTTTTAAAACATATGAGTATTTAAATTTTATTAAAATAATGTTTTAATATCAAGCTTTAATGTAAATGCATAAAGATTAAGGATGTCAAAAAAAAATCCAAAACAATAATGAATACAAATATTTAACAATTTAAGTGTTTCTGATCTTATTTTTGTTTATCAGATTACCTGATATATTTATACAACCCTCGGAATTAAGGTCGGCATTCGGCAACGCTTGCCTAACTGCAGACCTAAAAGTGTTTGCGGTCGGCAAAAAATTGCCGACCTCGTTTTGATGTTTTATGGTAAGACCTTTGTACCAAATTTTTTTCTGACCTCTAAAAGATTGAAGTCAGCAAATTATCATCCTTATTTATATATATATATATATATATATATATATATATATATATATATATATATATATATATATATATATATATATATATATATATATATATATATATATATATATATATATATATATATATATATACCATATATATATATCAACCCTTGGAATTAGGGTCGGAATTAGGTTTATTAGAGACCTTATTTAATAAGTCATGTTATGTTTTCATAAGTATATACTAAATTTCAACTATTTAAAAAAAAATAAAAATATATTTTGAACAGAATTAGAATAATCTATTTTTTTAATTTCAAATTATTTATAACTGAGTTTTTATTTTACTTGTTTAATGTTTGCAATAGAATGTTTCTATTTATTCTACTATTTTTCAATTTAAAATTTGCTTGTTAAAACAATTTTTACCTATAAGATTTTTATTTTTTAACAACATAAAAGAAACATTGTAATGGTTAAATTTTGCAAGTAAATATCTTAGAGCATGTTGAGTATATTTATAAGGCGAGTAACATAACTGTAGTAACTGTAGTAAATTGAAATTATTTTGAAAGCTATTTTTAATATAATTTATTTTGAAAAATATTTTATTAGTTCTAATTAATATGTATCATGTTTACTATTCAATTGATATGTTGTTTCCTTAATATTTAATTATACATATCCTGATTATACATAACTTTTAAACATTTACTATATTATTTTTATTTTTTGTCAGTCTGGACATAAAAAATAAAAAGTAATATTTTTGAGGTTGCTTTATTTTTAAAAATAATGTATTGATGATTTTCTTTAATAATTTTAATTCAATTTTTATCAGTATTTGTTAACCCTAAATTTTTCTATTTTTATTTTAAGTAGTACTAATAAAAATATGAATAAATTAAAAAATAAAAAAGTTAAAAAATAAGCAAAGAAAAGACTGCTCGGAACTACTAAATATGTTGCAAATTTTTTTTTTAAAATCAAGGATCATCTCATCCTCAAATAGCCAATAAGTTAAATATCACATATTTGGTTGTTACACATATTTTAAAACGCTATACTGTAACAGGTGACATTAAGGGTCAACAACAATCTAGTCAGTTAATTGTAACAACACAAAGAGGTCATTTATTAATTTGCTTAAGAAAACATTATAGAAAATTATCACCAAATGCTCTTTGCCGTAAATAGAACAAAATTTCTAAAATGTGAGCACAAGAACTATTTAAAGAATTCTTAATAGAAATAATTATATGTAACAATCTTTATGAAAAAAGGCAAGACTTTTGAAAAAACAGCTTTGTTTTTTTGAACACTGTTTTTTTAAAAGTCATAGATTTATGTTGATTGCCCAGACAAAGATTGTCTTTCAACATCTTCAACATCTTCGCTTCTGACAAGGCTGCAAGCAACCACTATTAGAATTAGAAATTACTGGAAGAGAAAAGATTAAGTTTATAGAGCAAGATAGCAATTGACAGACGACTTAAAAGATTGCAAATTATATGAATCAGGAAAGCAAGATGAAGGAAGTGAATTCCAAAGTCTTGTGCAATCAACATAAAAATTGACCTGATTGCAAGTGGAAAAATATTTTGTCCTTAGAAAAAATTAATGTTGAGGTAGATATGCAAAAATGTCATGTTATGCTACGACAATCAGCTCAAGTGAGATTTGATTCGAACTATAAATTAAATTTAACCAAGCAAGGTAGTGAAAGGCCAGGCATTTAGGCCTGCATAAATTATGAAGAACTTGGATGTTATCGATTATTTGAAGATCAACTTAATGGTAATAGATATATTAAAATGTTATATACTTTATATTCTTTTCTTAACTGATATATTTAAAAAAAACATTTATCTCCTATTTCAACCAAGATGTTGCATTGTAAGTTGCATATATATATATATATATATATATATATATATATATATAAAAACATATATATATATATATATATATATATATATATATATATA